AGACAACCACTGTTATCAGTGTCTTATGTATTGTTTAAGAGAGCATATTCTTTTTTCTTTTTAGTTAATTGGTAGCTTTACATTTTGTTCTGCACCTTGCTTTGTTCTCTTGACATTTCATTTTGGAGTTGTTCAATATTTGTATGTAGAGAGCTACTTCTACTTCATTCTTTTTAATTAGCTTCATGTTCTAACTGGTGTGTTACATATACCAATATACATAGATGTACCATGATTTACTTAGTTTACTATACATAAACATTTAGATTATTCCTAACTTTTCCTATTACAAACAGTATAACACAACATCCTTGTACACAGATCATTTTGTGTGAGTGTATCTGCAGGATAATTTCTAGAAGAGGAATATTTATGTTAAAAGTGTATGCATGTATGTAGACTGTTCTCCATAGAAATTGTACACTCCCAGCAGCAGTATGGAAGTGTGCCTATTTCTCCATTCCCTTTCCACCACAATGTATATCAAACACTTAGCAGTCTGACTGAGGGGAAGGGCACCCTGTTTTAGTTTGTGTTTTTATCATGAGTGATGTTGAGCATCTTTTTATAAGTTTAAGAATCATTTGTATTTTCTATGAACTCTTTATATATTTTGCTCCTTTTAGAAAGTATTATTGATTTGTGAAAACTCTTTTTCAAAATAAATGTTTTCTCAACAACATACACTAGTGCATTTTTGGTGTATGTAAGTTCCAGTTGGCTTTTTATCATACCAAAAATGTTTACTTTTTTCCTATTTTTATTGATTAATAATAATTGTACATACTTATGGAGTACATGTGATATTTTGATACATGCATACAATGTGTGACAATCAAATTGGGATATTTAGGATATCTATCACCTCAAACATTTATCATTTCTTTGCTTAGGGAACATTTCAGGTCTTTTAGCAATTTTGAAATTTTCTTTATCCATTCTTCTGTTGATAGACACTTAGGTTGATTGCTTATCTTGGTTATTGTGAATAGTGCTAAATAAACATGAAAATGTAGGTATCCCTTCGATATACTGATTTCTTTTTTTTTTTGTATTTGCTTATTGAAAAATAATTAATTTTTATTTCAATAGTTTTTGGGGTGCAGGTGGTGTTTAGTTACATGGATAGACTGTTTAGTGGTGGTTTCTGAGATTTTGGTGCACCCATCACCCAAGCAGTGTACACTGTACCCAATATGTAGTCTTTTATCCCTCATTCCCTTTCCAACCTTTCCCACTGAGTCCCCAAAGTCCAATATATCATTCTTATGCCTTTGCATCCTCATAGCTTAACTCCCACTTATAAGTGAGGACAACAATACTGGTTTTCCATTCCTGAGTTATTTCACTTAGAATAAAGGCCTCCATCTCCATCTAAGTTGCTGCAAAAGACATGATTTTGTTCATTTTTATGGCTGAGTAGTATTCCATGGTCTATATCTACCACATTTTCTTTATTTACTCATTGTTTGATGGGCACTTAGGTTGGTTCCATATCTTTGCAATTGCAAATTGTACTGCTGTAAACATGCATATGCATGTGTCTTTTTCCTATAATGACTTCTTTTCCTGTTGGTAGATATTCAGTAGTGGGATTGCTGGATCAAATGGTATTTCTACTTTTTTTCTTTAAGGAATCTCCATACTCTTTTCCATAGTGGTGGTACCCGTTTACATTCCCACCAGCAGTTGTAAAAATGTTCCCTTTTCACCACATGTACACCAACATTTATTGTCCTTTGACTTTAATTATGGCCATTCTTGCAGGAGTAAAGTGGTATCTCATTGTGGTTTTGATTTGCATTTCCCTGATCATTAGTGATGTTGAGCATTTTTTTCATATGCTTGGTGGCTGTTTGTATACCTTCTTTTGAAAATTGTCTATATGTCCTTTGCCCACTTTTTGATGGGATTTGTTTTTTTCTTGATAATTTGTTTGAGTTCCTTTTAGATTCTGTATATTAGTCCTTTGTCAGATGCATAGTTTGTCAATATTTTCTCCCATTCTGTGGATTGTCTGTTTACTCTGCTGATTATTTCTTTTGCTGTGCAGAAGCTTTTTAGTTTAATTAATTTATTTTTTTAGTTTATTTATTTTTGTTTTTGTTATATTTGCTTTTGCAGTCTTAGTCATGAACTCTTTGCCTAAGCCAATGTCTAGAATAAGTTTTCCAATGTTATCTTCTATAATTTTTATGGTTTCAGGTCTTAGGTTTAAGTTTTTGATCCATTTGAGGTGATTTTTATATAATATGAGAGATGAGAATCCAGTTTCTTTCTTCTACCTGTGACTTGCCAGTTTTCTCAGCCCCATTTGTTGAATAGGGTGCCCTTTCCCCAATTTATATTTTTGTATGCTTTGTTGAGGATCAGTACTTACTTACTATATTTGGCTTTCTTTCTGGGTTCTCTATTCTCTTCCATTGGTCTACATGCCTATTTTTATACTGCTACCCTGCTGTTTTGGTAAATATAGCCTTGTAGGATAATTTGAAGTTGGGTAATATGATGCTTCCAGATTTGTTCTTTTTGCTTAATTGCGTTAGCTATGCGACCCCTTTTTTGGTTCCATGTGTATTTTAGGAGTATTTTTTTTTCTAATTCTTTGAAGAATGATGATGGTATGTAGATGGGAATTGCATTGAATCCATATTTGCTTTGGGCAGTATGGTCGTTTTCACAATATTGGTTCCACCTATCCATGAGCATGGGATGTGTTTTTATTTGTTTGTGTCATCTATGATTTCTTTCATCAGTGTTTTGCAGTTTGCCTTGCAGAGATCTTTTACCTCTTTTGTTGATATACTGATTTCCTTTCCTTTGGATAAACACCAATAGTGGATTGCTGGAGTGTATAGTAGTTATAATTTTAGCTTTTTGAGAAAGCTCTGTAATGTGTTTTATCATGGCTGCACTAATTTAGATTCCTACCAACGGTATATAAGAGTTTCCTTTTCTTTGCATCCTTGCCAGCATTTGTTATTTTATGTCATTTTGAAAATAGCCATTGCAACTAGGGTGAGCTATGTCATTGTGGCTTTTATTTGCATTTCTCTCATGATTAGTGATGTGAAGCATTTTTTCATATACGTGTTTCCTACTTGTATATCTTATTTTAAGAAATATATTTCCAGACCCTTTGCCCACTTTTTAATGAGATTATTTGGGCTTTTTTTTTTTTTTTTTTTTTTTTTTTTTTTTTTTTTTTACAGCCACAGGAAAACTTAAAGCCAGTCCCTACAGAGTGTTGTAGATGCTTTTGATCAGATGAATAAAATTTCCTTATATTTCTATTTTTCTGAGAGTTTTTTGGCTTTTTTTTTTTTTTTTTTTTAGCTGTTGAGTTGTTTGATTTTCTGGTATATTCTGGATATTAGTTCCTTGTTGGATAAATAGTCTGCAAGTATTTTTTCTCGTACTACAGGTTGTCTCTTCATTCTGTTGATTGTTTTCTTTGTTCTACAGAAGATGTTTAGTTTACTATGACCCCATTTGTCTATTTTTGTTTTTGTTGCCTGTTTTTGAAGTCTTAGCCATAAAAATCTAATGTCCTGAATTGTTTCTCCTATGTATTCTTCTAGTAGGTTTATACTTTTGGGTCTTATGTTTTAGCATTTAATCCATTTTGAGTTGATTTTTGTATATGTAATAGGGGTCTAGTCTCATTCTTCTGCATGGATATTCAGTTTTCCCATTTGTTGAAGAACTGAATGCTTTTTCTGTGTCTACTGAGATGATCATATGGTTTTTGTCTCTCATTCTGTTGATGTGATGTATCATATTTATTGTTAGTGTTGAACCATCCTTGTATCCCTGGGATAAATTCCACTTGATTATGGCGTATTGTCTTAATGTGTTGTTGAATTTGGTTTGCTAGTATTTTGTTGAGAATTTTTGCATCTGTGTTCATCGGGGATATTGGCTTTTAGTTTTCTTTTTATTTTTTAGTGTGTCCTTGTCTTGTTTTGGTTTCAGGGTAATTTTGGCCTCGTAGAATGAATTAGAAATAATTCCCTCTTCTTCAAATTTTTTGAATAGTTTGAGAATAATTTTTGTTAGTTCTTCTTCATGAGTTTAGTAGAATTCAGCAGTAAAGCCATCTGCTCCTTGTCTTTTCTTAGCTTGGGACATTTTATTAATGATTAATTATTACTAATTTTTATTCTGCTCAGACTTTCTGTTTCTTCCTGGCTCATTCTTGGTAGGTTTTATGTGACCAGGAGTTTATCCATTTTCTCTAAGTTTTTCAATTTGTTAAAGTATAGCTGTTTATAATAGTCTCTAGTGACTCTTTGTATTTCTGTGGTATCGGTTGTAATGTCTTCTTTTTGTTGTTTGTTTCTGATTTTATTTACTTGAATCTTTTCTTTCCTGTTCTTGGTTACTATAGCTAGCAGTTTGTCAATTTTACTTATATTTTCAAAAACCAACTTTTCATTTCATTGATCTTTTGTACTTTTTCAAGTCTCAATTTCCTTTAGTTTGGCTCTAATGTTATTATGTCTTTCCTTCTGTTAATATTAGGTTTGATGTGTTCTTGCTTTTCTAGTTCCCTGACATACATCATTAAGTTATTTATTTGAAATCTTGCTACTTTTTTGAGGTAGGCATTTATTGCTATAAAATTCCCTGTTAGCACTGCTTTTGCTGTATCCCATAGGTTCTGGTATGTTGTATTCACATTTTCACTTGTTTCAAGAAATATTTTAATTTCCTTCTTTATTTCCTCATTGATGGAATACTCATTCAGGGGCTTGTGGTTTAACCTTCATGTATTTGCACAGTTTCCAAAGTTCCTCTTGTTACTGATTTATAGTTTTAGTTCATTGCTGAAATTCCCAACTGATATGGTTTAGCTGTGTCCACACCCAAATATCATCTTGAATTCACATGTGTTGTGGGACTCAGTGGGAGGTAATTGAATCATGGGGGCTTGTCTTTCGCATGCTATTCTCATGATAGTGAATAAGTCTCATGGGATCTTATGTTTTTAAAAATAGGAGTTTCCCTACACAAGCTCTCTCTCTTTGCCTGCTGCCATCTGTGTAAGACATGACTTGCTCCTCCTTCCCTTCTACCATTATTATGAGGCCTCCCAGCCCTGTGTAACTGTAAGTCCATTAAAACTCTTTCTTTTGTAAATTTTTTCCAGTCTTGGGTATATCCTTATCAGCAACATGAAAATGGATTAATACAGTAAATTGGTACTGGGAGTGGGGTGCTGCTGAAAAGATACACCAAGATGTGGAAGCAACTTTGGGACTGGGTAACATGCGGAGGTTGGAACAGTTTAGAGGGCTCAGAAGAAGATAGGAAAATGTGGGAAAGTGTGGAACTCCCTAGAGACTTGTTGAATAGCCTTGACCAAAATGCTGAGAATGATATGGACAATGAAATCCAGACTGAGGTGGTCTTGGATGGAGATGAGGAACTTGTTGGGAACTGAAGCAAAGGTGACTCTTGTTATGTTTTAGAAAAGACACTGGTGGCATTTTGCCCCTGCCCTAGAGATTTGTAGAACTTTGAACTTGAGAGAGATGACTTAGGGTATCTGGCAGAAGAAATTTCTAATCAGCAAAACATTCAAGAAGTGACTTGAGTGCTGTTAAAGGCATTCAGTTTTAAAAGGGAAACAGCATAAAAGTTTGGAAATTTTGCAGCCTGACAATGCAATAGGAAAGAAAATCTCATTTTCTGAGAAGAAATTCAAGCTGGTTGTAGAAATTTACATGAGTAATGAGGATTCTATTGTTAATCCCCAATACAATGGAGAAAATGACTCCAGGGCATGTCAGAGGTCTTCATGGCAGCCCCTCCCATCACAGGACCACAGTCCTAGGTGGAAAAGATGGTTTTTTTGGCCAGGCCCAGGGTCCCCTGCTCTGTGCAGCCTAGGGACTTGGTACCCTCCATTCCAGTGGCTCCAACCATGGCTAAAACGGGCCAAGGTACAGCTTGGACTCTTGCTTCAGAGGTTGGGAGCCCCAAGCCTTGGCAGCTTGCACATAGTGTTGGGTCTGTAGGTACACATAAGTCAAGAACTGAGGTTTGGGAACCTTCTGCCTACATTTCAGAGGATGTATGGAAATGCCTGGCTGCCCAGGCAGAAGTTTGATGCAGGGGTGAGGCTCTCATGGAAAACTCCTGCCATGGCAGTGCAGAAGAGAAATGTGGGGTCGGAGCCCCAACACAAAAACCATACTGCAGCATTGCCTAGTGGAGCTGTGAGAAGAGGACCACTGTCCTCCAGAATGATAGATCCACTGACAGCTTGCACCATGCACCTGGAAAAGCTGCAGATACTCAATGCCAACCCATGAAAGCAGCCAGGAGTGGGGCTATACCCTGCAAAGCCACAGGGGTGGAGCTTTCCAAGGCTGTGGGAGCCCACTTCTTACATCGGCGTGAGACATGGATGTGAGATATGGAGTCAAAGGGGACCATTTTGGAAAGCCCTGCTGGATTTCGGACTTGCATGGGGCTTGCAGCTTCTTTGTTTTGGCCAGTGTCTCCCATTTGGAATGACTGTATTTACCCAATGCTTGTACCCCCATTGTACCTAGGAAGTAACTAACTTGCTTTTGATTTTACAGGCTCATAGGTGAAAGGGATTTGCCTTCACTAAGATGAGACTTTGGACTATGAAATTTTGGGTAAATGCTGAAATGAGTTAAGATTTTGGGGAACTGTTGGGAAGGCGTGATTTGTTTTGAAATATGAGGACATGAGATTTGGGAGGGGCCACGGCAGAATGATATGGTTTGGCTGTGTTCCCCACCGAAATCTCATGTTGAACTCCCATGTGTTGTTGGGGGGACCCAGTGGGAGGTAACTGAATCATGGGAGTGGATCTTTCTTGTGCCATTCTCATGATAGTGAGTAAGTCTCACTTACTCATTCATGATAGTGAGTAAGATCTGATGGTTTTAAAAAGAGAAGTTTCCCTATACAAGCTATCTTTCTTTGCCTGCTGCCATCCACATAAAACATGATTTGCTTCTCCTTGCCTTCCACCATGATTGTGAGGCTTCCCAGCCATGTGGAACTGTAAGGTCTTTAAGCATCTTTCTTTTGTAAGTTGCCTGGTCTTGGGTATGTCTTTATCAGCAGCACGAAAATGGACTAATACACCAACTATTGTTGTACTGGAGTCTGTCTCTCCCTTTATATCTGATATACTTGTTTTATATATCTAGGTGCTCTGCTGTTGGGCGCATGTATGTTTGGAATTGTTATATTCTCTTTCTAAATTGATCCCTTCATCATTATATAATGACTTTCTTTGTCTCTTTTTACAGGTTTTAACTTAAAGTCTGTTTTATCTGATATAAATATTGCCATTCCTGCTTGCTTTTGGTTTTGTTTGCATGGAATATATTTTTCCATCCCTTTACTTTCATTCTATATGTGTCCTTACAGATGAGATGAATTTCTTGGAGACAGCATAAAGTGGGGTTAGGCTTTTTTTATCCATTCAGCTTGATTATATCTTTTAAGTGAAGACTTTAATCTGTTTACATTCAAGGTTATTCTTGATAAATAAGGAAATATTTCTGTCACTTTGTAATATGATTTTTGATTGTTTTATATATCATTTGTCCCTTTGTTCCTTTGTTATTTTTTTTTTTTTTACCATTGTGGTTTAGTGGTTTTCTTTAGTGGTAATGTTTCACTCCTTTTCTTTCTCATTTGTGCATCTTACTTTTATGCTTTCATGTGTTTTTATGATGGTAGAGATAATCTGTTTACTTTCAGATGTAGGATTCTGTTAAGTATTTCCTGCAAGGCTGATCTAGTGGTGATGAATTCCCTATTTTGGTTGTCTGGGAAATACTTTATTTCTTTCATTTCTGAAGGACAAATTTGCTAGGTATAGTATTCTTAGATGGCAGGGTTTTTTCTTTTGGCACTTTGAATATATCATCCCATTCTCTTCTGGACTGTAATTTTTTGCTGAGAAATTTACTATTAGTCTGATTAGGATCCCCTTATATATGACTTGCCACTTTTCTCTTTCTGTTTTTAGAATTCTCTCTTTATCTTTGGCTTTTGGCAGTTTGATTATAATGTAATTTAGAGAAAACCTTTTTGGGTCATGTCTATTTGTGAATTTTTGTGCTTCTTGTATCTGGAAGCCTAAATCTCTTGCAAGATTTGGGGAGTTTTTAAATATTATTCTGTTAAACAGGTTTTCTATGCTGTTACCTATCTGTTGCCCTTCTGAAACTCCCAGAATTAGAATTTTGTTCATTTTATGATGTCCTATATATTATCTAGGCTTTCTTAATTCTTTTAAATCCATTTTTCTATTTTTTTCTTTTCTCTTTTGTCTATTAAAAAAAAGCCTGTCTTCATGTTCAGCACTTCTTTTCTCTGCTTGGTGTACTGTGTTGTAGAAGCTCTTGATTGTATTTTTTATTTCATTTATTGAATTCATCAGTTCCAGGCCTTTGGTTTTGTTCTCTTTGGATATCTGTCTCTGGTATTTATCATTCAGCTCATGAATTATTTTTGATTTCTCTGTATTATTTATCTGTGTTCTCTTGTATCTCACTGTGTTTCTGTAATATTATTGTCTGGAATTATTTTTTAGGCATTTTATAAATGTCCTTTACTTTGGGATGTCTTACTGGGTAATTATTGTGTTTCTTTTGAGGTGTCATGTTTCTTTGCTTTTTGTGTTTTTTGTGTGCTTACTTTGATTTCAGTGTATCTGACATAACAATTGCTTCTGATTTTATGCATTAGCTTTCATGGAGAAAGACTTTTTCCTATCGATAATCTATAGTGTTCGTTGGGTAAAGTGCTTTGGTTTTGATTCTGGTTGGGCACGGTAGTATAGTCTGTATGATTTCTTTGGCTGTAATTAGCATCAGTGTTGTCTCCAAGTTCCTCAGTGGCTTAGACTGCAGTTGTTAATAGAAGTTGTGGTGAGGCTTTGCTGGAGATGGGCATGCCATGCAGGCTGGTCCTTGGGTACCAGTGGTGTCAGTGGCAGGTGAAGCATGCCTGTCCTCAAGTCCCAGATGGTGGATGCAGGTATTAACTGTGGTAGGTAGGGTGGGGACTGATCCTTAGACCCCCAGGCAGTACGATCCAGTGCAGGCAATCATGGTGGTGGGTGGGGTTGGCTTGTCCTCAGGCCCCAGATGAGGTACTTGGGTGCCATCAGTGGTGGCAGTAGATGGGGTGGCCCTGCTTTCAGGTCCCTGGATGGAACATGTGGGTGCCAGTGGCAGCAAGATGGATGGGTTGATTTCCAGGTTCTTGGATTATGTGCACAGGTACCAGCACCAGGTAAAGTGAGCCTGTCCTCAGGCCCCCTGATAGTGTGGGTAAGTACCAGCATCAGCAGGTGGGGCAGATTGATTTAAGAGTTAGTTCAGTGTTGGCCAGGCATGGTGGCACATGCCGGTATCCCAGCACTGTGGGAGGCTGAGGTGGGTGTATCAAGAGGTCTGGAGTTCAAGAACAGCCTGGTCAACATGGTGAAAGTCCATCTCTACTAAAAAAAAAAATACAAAAATTAGCCAGGCTTGGTGGTGCTTACCTGTAATCCTAGCTACTTGGGAGGCTGAGGCAGAAGAATCACTTGAACTAGGGAGGCGGAGGTTGCAGTGAGCCGAGATCGTGCTGCTGCACTCCAGTCTGGGTGATAAAGTGAAACTCCATCTCAAAAACAAACAAACAAAAAACAAAAAAACCCTAAAAAACAGAGTTAGTTCAGTGTTTTATGATTTATAAGTATTTTCTTAATTTTCTAGGCATTTGTGTTTTGATTTTTTGTTATGAAAAGCTTTTTATTTCTATTTTTATTAGTCAAATTTATCAATTTTACTGGGTTCTGAGTTTTTTGACAGAATTAGAAAATCTTCATTGCTCTAAGATCTTTTTTATAAACCATCTCATATTTTAATAGTACTTTAAGGGTTCTTATGTTTAAATCTTTAATCTGTCTCAGATTTATTTTGGTGTAAGGTGTGTTGCATATATCTAGCTTAATTTTTCTTCATTTAGTTATCAAGGTTTTTTGTTTTTATATCACTTTTTAAAGTTCATTTTTTCCCATGGGATTTAAATTTACTTATCACATTAAAAATTTCTAACTATA